ACATTTAAGGGGAAGTAATGGTGAGAATTGTTTCAGTTCTTTTATCAAAAAGATACATTATCAGGAAAAATTCTGATTAGAAAATGACATTGTAAATATTCCATGACAGTCCTTTTCCAACCAGAATTTTCCTTGGTAATTTACTGTTTATTTTTGTAAATAAACAGTAAGTTGTAAACAACTTATTTTGTCTCACAAGTCTATGGTCAGCTAGGCATTTTTACTGATCTGTGTTTAGTTTGGCTAATCACAGTGGGATTCTCTCAGACATCTATCTCTAGTCAGCTGGAGGCTGTGAGGGGCCTGGTTGGTATAGGATGGTCAGCATAGGGATGACTCAGCCCTCCTCCAGGTGTTCCTCACATTAGCAAGCTAGCCCAGGGATGTTCTCATAGTTCTGGGGAAAGAGCAAAGAGCAGCAAGAGAGCGAGTCCCAACGCATAAGAACTTTTCTCATCTCTGGTTGTGTTCTGTTTGATAACATTTCAGTGGCCAGTGTGAGTATTGTGTCTAGCTCAGAGTCAAAGAGTGGGGCAGAATACCCTGCCTTTGATGGGAAGAGTAAAGAATTGGGGCGATCAATGCAATCAATCAAACACACGTTCATATAGGTTTATACTTTGATAGCTCTCCTGGGTATGATGTATTCAATACTATAGTTTGCTTAATAATTTCTCTATTTATGGATGTTCAGATTGATTCTACTTTTTTTGCAATTACAGCCAATGCTGCCATAAAAATCTATGTACATACAGCTTTATACACATGTATGAATTTAAAAATTTATCAAATTTTAAACATACAAGAATATGTCCTCACCACTGAGATTAAATGGCTTTTCATATTTTGTCCTACTTGTTTCAATCTTTGCAAGTGCCTTGTTTTTTTGTTTTAAGAAATAGGAATAGCTAAAGCCCCATCACTTATCTTTCCCTCCATTTCTAGAGGCAATGACTTACCCTGATTGTTAGTCACACTAGCCAATATTGTTAGTCACACTAGCCATATTTCAAATGCTCAACAGCCACGTGTTACTATATTGGACAGAGAAGATAAACACATCCATCACTGAAGAAATTTCTACTGAACAGCCCTACTCTAGAATTAAGTCCAGGAAGAGTGCCTGTGGTAGGCAGAATAATGCCCTTCTCCCCCAAGATGTCAGTGCCCTAATCTCTAGCATCTGAAAATGTTAATTAGAGAATAAGAGAATATGAAGATTTGAATAAGAATCTTAAAATGGGAAGATTATCCTGGATTATCTGGGTAGGCCCAATGTAATAACAAGGGTTCTTAGAAGAAGCCAGGAGGATCAGAGTCAGAAAAAGATGTGCTGATAGAAACAGAGGGTAGAGTGATGTGCTTTGAAGATGAAGGAAGGGGCCTTGAGTCAAAGAATGGAAGTGGCCCCTAGAAGGGGGAAAAGGCAAGGAAACAGATTCTCCCTTAGAGCCTCTAGGAGGAAGGCTGACACCTTGATTTTAGGATTTCTGATCTGCAGAACTGTAAGATGATACATTTGCTTTGTTTTAAGCTATTAAGTTTGTGATAATAGCAATAGGAAGCATACATATGACAATATGTGTTTCCATTCCCCCCTTTATGAACATTGTCTCCAATTATTTCTATTATATAGATAGAGCTACAATAACGTTTTTCTATATGCAGGAGCTAATATTATATAGTGAAAAGTGCTACAGAGAAAAATAACCCACTGAAAGTGTTAGGATGTTCAGGTTGCCAGGGATATGTGCAGTATTATGTTCGCAAATGTTTAATCACTTGCTTTCCAGAAAAAAAACAAAATTTGCCAGTTCTCGTGGCATAAATACTTCTACCATGACCAATTTCTAGCTACTGATATAACGTCACTGAACACAAGAGCTGGGAACATATGTCAGTTTCTGCACAGTACTGGATCTGGGTATGTGTGTGCACGTGTGTTTCTAAGTACATATGTGTGGAGTTCCTATTTTAAATAGAAGGTCTTTGTGAACTGACAGAGACCTGAAAAAGATGATGGATGAAGATGAATGGGGAAAAATATTCTTGGCAGAGGGAATAGTAAGTGTAAACACCTGATGGGAGAGTGGTTGGCATATCTGTTGGATTTCAGGTATGTCTGAGAGCAATCAAGGAGTCTAATATAGCTGGAAGAGAGTGAGCTGCTGAATTGTGGGAGATCAGGTCAAAGAGTTAACTGTATATTCATAGGTTTCTTTGCATTTAGAGGACAGATAATGCTTCATAAGTCATTGTAGGGGCTTTTATTTTGAGGGAAATGGAAGGGGATTGGGGAGAAGAGTGACATAATCTGAGTTAAATTTGGCTCGTCTGTTGAGGATAAATAGAAACAGGCTGAGACACAGGAGGGTGTTGCACAATAATCCAAGTGAGAGATGATGGTGGCTTGGCCAAAAGTGATAAGATACTGCAAGTAGAAGGGACAGAATTTGCTAAAAAATTGAATATGGGGGGAAAGAAAGTGAGGAGCCAAGGTTGACTCCCAGATTTTGGCTTGAGTAATTGAAAAGATGAAAGTGTTATCAGCTGTGACTGGGAAGATGGTGGGAGAATGAGTTTGGGGGTACAGGGGTGTATCAAGAGCTAATTTTGAATGTGTTAAATTTAAGATGACTTAAAAAAATTCCAGTTCAATGACGAATTGGATATACATGTCTGATTAGGGAAGAGAATCAACTGGAGATGTACATTTGGTACTTAAAGCCATGGTACTGGATGGAGGTCATAGAGGGAATGAGTGTAGATAGAGAAGAGAAGAAATCTGAGGACTAAGTCTTGGGATACTCCAGGATTTAGAGATAAAGAACATAAAGAAACCAGAAAAGGAGACTAAAAGGCTGTCAGGTAGGAGGAAAACCAAAAGAGAATAGCATGCAATTAAAGAAAATGTTTCTTGGAGGAAAGAATCATAAAACCCAACAAATATTCCTGGTTAGTCAAATAAACTGAAGCCTGAGAAATGACCACTGGATTTAAAAGTGTTATTGATCATGTTAACCAAAATAATTTTGCTGGAGAGATAGGTACTAAAGTCTGATTGCAGTAGCTTCAAGAGAGAATGGGAGGAAAGGAATTGGAGACATAAAATTTAGCCAATCCTTTCTAGCTTTTCTGTGAAAAAAATGAGAAGGAAGTTGCTAAATATAAGATCCAGAAAGAGTTTTCAAAAGGTTGGAGATATTATAGCATGTGTTTGTGCAGATGAAAAGAAAATTCAGCAAAGAAGGAAAATTCATGAAGCAAAATAGGGGAGAATTGCCAGAGGATGTCCTTAAGAAAGGGAATGAACTGGGATCTAGGGCACAAGTGGATTAGCTGGCCTTAGATAGATGGTTCATCCATGGGAGCAGATGGAGATTGATGGGTAGATGTGGTGTTGGGAGCATGTGGAAAGTCTCTATGGGGTGCTTCTATTTTGTTATTAAAAAAATGTCATCAACTGAGGGTTAGGATGGGGTAGGGAGTGTAGGGAGACTTGGAGAATGGGTGAATGAATGGACTTCAGAAATAGCAAAAGCCTGCAGGCTGTACTTGGAGGCTCAATAAAATGGTCATGTATTTACCTTGAGACCAGACACGAACTTGCATGTTTTTCTTAAGACAACATCAAGGTACAGATGCAAATACAGAATGGATTGAGATTTTAACATAAGCAGGGTTGGGTTTTTGTCAATTGAGTATGAGGGAAAAAAGGGGCCTGACTAGAGAGTTAAGGATAAATGCAAGAGGATATTATGGTGATGTACAATAGACCCAGGAAGGAGAATAAAGAATAGATTAAGGTTAGGGACATGGTAGAGACAGAGAGGACAGTGATCCAGTAGCATGTAAGAATTGTTGAAGTGGGGATACTGGAGGAAGTGAGTTCCAGAGATAAGGTTGAAGAGTAAGACAACTGAATTGAGAATATGGAAGGGTATTAGTAATGACAAGGCCTAGTGTATGACCACAGATGTAAATCGCTCATAGGATGAAAGATAAGATTATTGGCAGCGAGGAGATCTTGAAAGTGGGAGGCCAGATAGAAGCATCTTTGTGGATATTGAAAGCACAATACAACTTCTACAGCATTAGTATTAGAGGTAATTACAAATAACATCACAGTGATATCAGAGTGGTCAGACTAACAGTGTTCCAACATGTCTTGAGTACTTGTTAGAAATGCAAATTCTCAAGTCCCATTGAGACCTACTGAACCAAGAAACCAAGGGGTGGTGCTTCAGGTGATGCACGATAACGTCTGAGAACCACTTACAGGGGCAGCACAGAAGATGGAAGAGTTAATTGCTTGGAAAAGAAGGATTCAATCAGGTAGCATTTAAACTACAACAGAAGTTACTGCAAGGTTAAATGTAGGGGCCTTAAAGGGAGCAGCATTTGTAAAGAAAAGCTTGAATCATGAAAAGACCTCAGATAAGATAACATAAAATTACGTAAAAGTGAACAACGTTAGCTATTAATATCAGAAAATCATGCCTTGCTAGGAAGCCATTGGTTCTTCAAGAATCCTGATGAAACATCATAGACTTCTTTCTATTCATCTACTTTTTCTTTCATTGGTATTAGGCTCAGTAGAGAATGAAAGCTGGGACAGTAAGCGTGGCTGCTTTGGCATACCAACATTTTCCACAATTTCCCAACGTCTCTATCGAACACTGGAGAAACTGTTTCAAAGACCGAGTGCTAAAGACTACAGCGGCAATGTTCGCTCGTCTATGACGTCACGGTGCGCCCACCGAAGGTGTGTTCCATCAACAGCCAGGCGCCGCAGGGGGGCGGGGCTTGAGCGAGCTGACGTCACTACCGGGCGCCAGGCGCGCTCAGTTGGCGGCGGATTCAAAAGTTCTGGCCCGGTCTCAGGGCCTGTAGAAGCGTCGGAGTCGGGGTTCTTGGTGTCCCCGCGGGCGTGAGCTGCAGTGCGGCGCAGGGAGGACCTAGGAAGCTTAGGCGGCTGGTGCCCGAGCCGGAGGGAGAGGATGGCGCTCTCGACCACAGTCTCGCAGAAGAAGCTGATAAAGCGGAAGGCTCCCCGCGGTTTTCTAAAGCGCCTCTTCAAGCAACGGAAGCCTCATCTCCGTCTGGAGACAAATAGCGACCTACTGGTGAGATTTTGTCCCTTCTAGGACTGGAAGTGGGGCGGAGACAGGGGAAATAACCCCCAGCCTTTATTTTGCCGCCCCCAGCCAATCTAGCTTTCAGGCCTACGTTTGAGGTGTTCGCAGCAACACCTGGGCGGGTTTGCTCCAGCCTGGCATATCAGTTAGTATTCCTGATGCTGAGTTGTTTTGGGGCCCTCTGAAATGTAGATATCCTGACCTTTTTTTTACAGGAGGCTATTAGCTACATCAATTTAAGGAGAAAACTAACGTTAAGTTCCTGCTTGTAGTTTTTCAATATCGCTATTAAGGAGCACAGTCTGGTACTGTGCTTAGTGTAATTTGCAAAGGTTCGAAAGATACATTTAAAAAAAATAGATTTTGGAATTCAGGCTGGGTTATTTTTATTTAAATATTGTAAAAGGCATTACTGACTTGCCTTTCAAAATGCCTTTCTCCTTGCCTTCCTTTATTCCCCTTCTTTTTACGTTGTTAAACAAATATATTGCCCTATTTCCTCTACTTTAGCTTATTTACTAAAGAACCCTGATCCAAAAGTTTATTTGTAAGTAGTATGCTCCCAAATGTGAATTCGTTTTCCTAGACAAATAGAACACCTGTTAGTTTAGTTTTCAAGACCAACCATTAAAAGTTTATCTGACTCATAGTAACTGCAGCATAATGCTCACATGATAAATAACCACAACCAAACCACTGTGTAATATATCTGTTTTGAAATAAATTAAGAGTTTTTATGTTGAATGCCTGGAATATATATCCCTCTAGCAGAATGAACACTGTTTCCCTAGGTTTAAACCATAGGAGGCACCTCCTGTGGTTTGTTACAAGAGCTCTTTGAGTAAAGGAGCCACTACTGGTGGGCACCTAATTTCCCTGAGATCAAGGTAAAAGAATTGTGGATAATAGGGATATATGGCATGGAGGGTGGCTTCACAATACATCATTCCATCTCTTCTTAAGCTACATTGTCCCCCCCC